AGTTATGAGGGCCAGAAGAGCGAACTTGGTTGATTTTGCACTACGCGTGTAGTGGAAAATCGAGTGAAAATCACCCGCCCTGTCGATTTTTTTTGGATATTTTGAATTTACTTTGTTATTTATATAATAATAAACAACTCGTATCATTTTTAGCGGGGTCTTTTATTTGGTTTTATAGTTAGGAAAGCTAGAGGTTTGAAGGAGTAGTAAAGCTAGCATATAGGCACATACAAGATTAGTTTTTGGTGCGGGTAAAATAATGGACAATTATCCTTTTTACGGTTTATACATATGATTAGTAGTCTCTAATGCTACTTTCAGTTATTTCTAAGCATTTTTGCTACGTTTTAAAGTAATTAATTAAATTTTCAAATTTCGTTCCCGGAACGTTCCGAACTTTAGTGTCATTTTTCATTAATGTCCGTATTTTATGGTCATTTCTACAATATAATACATGAAATTAATAATTCCGGAAAATGAAAATTGTCGGAACTAATATGACACATTTGTACCACGTAATACCAATAAGTTTTTATGCATTATTAGTAGCGTGCGCTCTGTCATAATAAATTTTTCCTAAATTTCCGTACTGTTCGATCAGTTTTACTATACATACCACTTGAAATTAACAATTCCGGAAGACGAAAATTATTGGAACTTATTACTATTTTATGTACCTAATTATATCACTGTAAATTTAGGCATTTTTAGTGGCGTGCAGCTTGTGATACCAGTTTTTTTTTTTAAATGTAGTTATTTTTTGATCTTTTTTTAACGATACACTTAATAAATAACAAGTTTTGGAAGACAGAAGTGCTTTAACTGATGTATGTTCTTATAAAATATTATGTTTTCCTTGCTATTTCTGGTGTCGTATAGCTTTTATAATGAAAATGTCTCGAAATTTTGGTTCATTACGGATACTTCCAAAACGAAATATTTAATATATTACGAGGACGGAAAATATACATTTTCAGTTATTTTATTTTACTAGCACTAAGAATATAGTGTCGGTATGGTGATTTTTTATTTTTTAAGTTATTTGTACATGGGTATCTATTTGATTTTAACTCTGTTGGGTTATTGGGTTGTGTAGGTCATTGCTATATCCTGACGGCATCTTAGCGAGGAGCTCTTTTTTGATAGTTTTTGTAGTTATGGCGTAGACAGAGACTTACCTTGATTTCTACATACTATATGAATCTCACTTTAATAGTTTGAAAGGCCTTACCGTATTTCTTACGCCTATACTTTTGAATTAATCTTAAAACTCTTATATCTAAAGAAGCGTACATTTTTATGATCTAGAAATTGATGGAAGCCTTCCTTATTACTTGTTAAAGCGTTTAAATCATTAAAAAAAAAAAATAATAATAAAAAAAAAAAAACAACTACTCTTTATCTGTATGCGGGTGTGCGCGCGGCTGCAGGAGGAGATTACACAGAGGACGAGTGTATACAATGTCGGGACTGTGCCGAAAAACTTATAACCCACTCTGTGGGTTTTTCTTTTCCTTTCCTGTTTTTTGTTTTTATGATTATTTATTTATTAATTTT